TATTTATTATAATTTTATATAATTAATAATTAATTAATCTAGATGCCTCTTTATATACATATTGAGGTTTGGTTACTCATTTATATATTTTTTTATTTAAGATTTAGTTTTGAATGTTTATTTTGGTAAAACATGTTAACTAACACCTTTAAAAGCCATCAAAAAGCTTTTTGGGATTTGCTTACTAGCATACCAAACAATTTTCATGATTTAATTTGATAAATTTGGATTTACAGGCTTTACTAGATCATATTTAAATTAAATCCTACTTGAAACAAAGCAACCTTGAAGATTGATTTGTCTTTTGAGTGAAGAGGTTGGACAGGGATCAGAATCGAGATTGCATATGGTTTTACAATAAATAGAATTATTGTTAGGGCTGTCAAAAATTAGATAATTTTTTTTCATGCGGAGTACGTGCGCAGCTCTACGTGTGGACATCCAATAATATGCCGCCACATGGAAGTTATTATAGGGTTATTGACGTGAAACCACGGAAGTTATTGGGGGTTTATTACGGGGGTTAATGCATGGGATTATTGAAATGAAACCGCGGAGGTTATTGGTGGGTTATTGAAGTAGAATCACAGAGGTTATTCGGGGGTTATTGAGAAGTTATTATGGTATTATTAGAGTTAATGCCCCAATAACCTCTTAATGACCCCAAATAACCCTCCCAAATAACCTCCACGGTTTCACTGCAATAACCTCCGCAGTTTCACTTTAACTTTTTTTAGGTGGACTCGACATAACATGCATAGCGGCATATTACTGGAGTCTGCACGTAGAGTTGTGTACGTATTCCGTATGGAAATTTTTTTTCCAAAATATGACCTAATACGACAACGCGACTCGAACTCTACTACAAAAATCTGAGTTAAGGTAGACTCAAATATTTTTTTAGTTTTGTTCGGGTCAGAGAATTTGACTCGTTCTATTATTCGGGTCGGGTTTGGGTTGAACCCGAAAACCCAAACATGACCTAAATAAAGCACAAATGTTCGGGTTGGGTTTGGGTTAATGGGTCAAGCTTAGGTTTGGGTTAAGGTCGGGTCTTAATTTTTAATTTGTTTTTTATTCGAGTCGGTTTCTGGTTGACCTGGTCATTTTCGAGTCGAACTCGAACCCAAACTGTTGACTCGCATTGAGATCTTTAATTGTTATTATGTCGCATAACTCTTTTATTCTTTGAATCAAATGGTTAATTAAAGACTTGTTTGGTTCGTCGGTGCAGCGGTTGAATTGCCAGTTCACCATGGTCCTGAACGGTTCTATGCATGAGGGTTTTTTATGCCACATAAAACTAGACCACCATGGTCTGTTCACAGTCTAACCGGTCGAACCGATTGGTCAGTCCAATTTTCTAAACCATAGCGAATACTTCACCACATGTTGAAAAGTCATCCTAAATTGTATTATTAATTGAAATCAACAGTCAATTTTCTAAACCATGGTGAATAATACTTTGCCACATGTTGAAAAGTCATCCTAAACTGTATTATTAATTGAGATCAACAGTCAATTTGGTTTTTATTTTCAATTTAATTTCAATTTTGAATTTATTAAGCATTAAACCTACATGGGCTATCTTCACCAGTTAAAACAACATTAGTGTCAACCAACATAAGATCTGGGTCTAGTTGAATTAATTATTAATTTCTATTAAATTTTAAGAAAAAAATTTAAATGATTTCCAAAATACCTCAAATTTTATAAGATTATTTTTTTGTGGCTAAGTGACCGAAAAAAAATTCCCATAATAGTTTTTTGACTATTTGAATTAAATTAATTTTTATTAATTCTTAAGTATTTCTTAAAAATAAATTCTTCAACATTACTTAATTTGATTCGATCAATCACACAGTATAAGTGTTAATCAAATAATATATAAAATTAGAGTCTACGTATTAATTCCACAATAAAAATTATAAATTTTTCTAAAATATGAAATTTTAGAACTGTTAAGCCAATTTTGAAGGGTTTCACTTCTGCTAAAAAGTAAAGTGTTCTAAAATCCTAATGCATAAATTAGAAAACTAAACTAATTTTCATTTGAGTTTTTAAAACTTGAAATGCTCTTACTTTTGTAGCACTAGTTTGGTGATTTTTTGATGTTTTCCCTATGAGTTTCTCGCATTAGTGTTGACAACTAGAGACATATTCTCCTTACCCTCTGTTTATGTCATAAGAAGTATTAAAAGCTTGTATTACAATTAATGGGGCTTAATCATTTAATGTTTCCCTTGAATCTTCTAATTTTTTATCTATGTTGCACTCTCCTACTTGAAATATGTCTATTTCACTAGGTGAATGTATGTTAACCTACTTATTCTCCTAGCTAAAGGTCAGAAGTCCTAGATCATAAAGTGTTTTAACTTTTAGATTAGGCGGATTGGGAGAAAATTACAATAGAAAGGTAAACACATCAACATATATAACTCAAAGCACAAAAAAGCTTCTAAAGAAAAGCTCATTGAGAAAACAGTAAGAAGGGCATATTTCTCACAACACCAGAGCTAGGAAAATATTTAGCTATTGTGCATGAGAAAAGAAAATAAAAAAAAATTTATTGAAAACATTAAAGAATAGAACATAAAAAATCATAAAACTCAAACCCGAGTCAATTGCCTCTTGCAAGGCACCATGATTATCTCCATACAATGCAAGCTTTCACTCAACATCACTCCCAAAAGTTCACATAACTCTCTTCTCTCTCTGTCTCTGCTCGCTATAACTCTCAAGGAATCAACCTAAATAAGGGGTGTAAATGAGCCAAACTTGAGCAAGCCTTATTTGTGTTCCGCTTTCATTGGTGTTGTGAAAAACGACGATAATAAAGCGAAAAATGGAACAAAAAAATTGCACACAGAAAAAAAAACACCAAAGCGATACACAGATTTACGTGGTTCGACAAATTTGTTTACATCTACGGAGCTGCAGAAGATTTTATTTCTTCGAGGAATTATACCATCGAGCGCCTTGACATTTACGAGAAAATCTATATTTTCTTCTCTCCCTTCCTCTCTCTCTCTTCCTCTCTTTCCCAGAGGACTTGGCTTAGCCCTTCTTGGCTTGTTTATGACAAGTCATAAGAGACTATTTATAGAAACCAAGAGAGCGATAGGTGGGAGGTAGGTGAGCGGTAGGTGAGAAAGTAGGTGAGTGGTAGGTAGGATTTTGAATTAGGAAGCTAATTAAATTGTGATGGTCGGGTCTCCACATTACCCAACAATTCTCCCACTTTGAGATTGGGGCATTGACTGCATCATCTACTAGTTGTACCGACCTTTTCGTCAAACATGATATCTTCCACCTCTGCAAGTCAAAGGCATAGTCTTCATGTCAGAAGACCAGCTGAAGTCGAGCACAACTTCAGCTTCTCATAAGTAACACTCTCAATTGACATATCACCATTAACGTAGCCTTGTACCACCAAGCTCTTTCCTTGGTTACTCATGTATCTGCTTAAAACTCCCACTGCACGAGCAATATCTTGCCTCTGCTGAAAGTAATTTTCAACAAGTTCAGCCTTATACCTCTTACTGCCACCAAGCACAGTCTTCGTCCGGCACACCCACTTGTTGTGTAATGTCATCTTCTTTGGTGGAAGTTCTTGCAATTCCTAAATCTGATTCTTTGGCAGGAAATTCGTCTTCTCCTTGATCAGCTCCAACTTGCTTGAATTCTCATCTTTCAAGATTTCTCATCTTTCAAGATTTCTTCATAACTCTATGATTCTCCACCATTTGTTTGTACAAGGTTCGATTTTTCTGCCTTTGACACTCTGCCACTTCCTCCACCATTTGTTTGTACAAGGTTCGATTTTTCTGTCTTTGACACTCTGCCACTTCTCAGAAAATTGACCTTCTTCTGTTTCCCCATAATGCACTTCTGACTCATGTTTCATCGTCTAAGTAAACCTGTACTCATATATAATGTGTCAGTTTTCTTACCCTGAGTCATTACTAATGCTTCTTTGGTAACCTTCTAGGTGTTATCTGAGAACACCACCGAATGATCACCCTCATCGAGCTGCCCAACATAGATGAAATTTTTCTTCAACTCAGGAACGTGCCTGACCTTTTGTAAAGTTCATTTATTTTGGCAAGGGAGTGCAATATTAACGTCTCCCATCCCCACCATGCTTAGAGCTTTACTATCAGTCAGATGTATCTTCCCAAAGTCAGCTGCAACATAGTTTCACATCAACTCCCGATGGGAAGATGTATGGAAGGAAGTCTCTGAATCTATGAGAAAGTCATCAACAGAACTGTGAACTGCCAGCAATAGCATATCCTGTATATCTTCAGTTACAACACTAGCGTCATCATTCTTCTTCTTCTTAGGAATCCTACAGTTTTTTTGATGTGGTCAGTGATTCACCTAAAATATATAGTATTGTTATACACATTTTATGTTTATTTTGAGATATTACGCTTTAATGAAAGGTATTTGTGTGTTTTTATTTCAGGTACAATCAAATGGATGAAAAATACTAAAATGAGTGAAAAATGGTCAAATTTGAAGCAAAATGATGAAGGTGGAAAAATGAACTGAGGCGCCTAAACGCCAGTTATTCAAAGAGAGACGCGCCTAAGCGCCAAAAGTGATTATTTGATGATTCATTGAATTTAGAAATTTTTTGAAGTGGTGTTTGAAGCAACCCTTAGTAAAAATGTGGGAAATAATTTATGGACATGAAAATTCA